ACAAGAAAGTAGTAAAGGGAGAGGAACTGGGCATGGTGGTGCATGTCTACAATCTCAGCACTAAGGGAGGCTGAGACAGGAGGATCGATACAAGGCTGAACTGTGCAGCAAGACAAAACAAAGCAAACAAAAAACAAAAATAAAAACAAAACAAAACAACAACAAACTGAAGGGAGAGATGTTGGGAGCAGCTGAAGCTGGAAGTTGATCATGTGTGGGAGGGCAGAACAAGGCCAGAGTGCCTAAAGTAGTCAAGTTATGTTAGTTTTCAGAAAAACATTTTGCTGGTTGGATTTCAGCTATTAGTCACTAAGGAAACCTTGTGTTTCGTGATACTAACTTTGCAAAGGTATAAATAAATGCCTGTACTGTTGTTCTTTAGGTCCTCTGCCGATCAGGCAAACAGGCCTCCACCTGACCCAGCTCTGGTCTCTAGTCTATCTTTTCCTCATTCCTGCTGCTGTTTCTCTCTGGGGCACATCAAGAGACCACTGAGTCCCTATAAGTGCTAGTCTCTAAAGGATTCCCAGGGACAGGGTTGCTGGTGTCTGTTCTCAGTTCCCTGCTGCTGGCCCAAGGCCACCACCCACCTCAGTTGCTGCTGCATCTTTTGCACTGTGGTTTGACCCATGTGCCCAGGACTCTGCTGTGTTTCTGGCACCTAGGGCAGAGCCGGCTCAGTGAAAGCAGGTAGCCCCATGTGTGGTGGGTCTCTTGCCATCCTCCTGTGGTACTGGGGATTGAACCTAGGAACTTTCTTGAGCCACACCTCCAGCCCTCTTTAGGACTCAGTTCAACCTTTCCCTCACACACCCACAAGGCCACTCTGTTTCCCTTACTGTTTATTGATAGCCTTGTGCAGGGGTATAAAATCTTACCCATTCTACAGCTACGTAAACTGAGGGCTGTGAGTGCTGAGGCTGTCCCTCCCAGCAAGAGCTGTACCGTGTTCCACCTCTTTTCTGCTGAGCTTTATATTGTTTGCACCCGAATCTTTCCCCTCTCCTTCTCCTCTTTCATGTTTTGTTTTGTTTTAGTGTGATATTTTTGAGACAGGGTCTCACTGTGTAGCCAAGGCTGGCCTTGAACTCACTATGTAGTCTCCACTGGCCTTAAACTTGTGGCATCCCCCCGCCTCAGCCTCCTGAATGCTGGGATTAGAGGTATACACCACCACACCCAGCTTGTCTTTCTTTCTTTCTTTCTTTTCTTTTCTTTTCTTTTTTTTTTTTTTTGCGGAACCGGGGATTGAACTCAGGCCCATGCACTTGCCAGGGAAGTGCTTATTCCACTGAGCTATCTCCCCAGCCCAGCTTGTCTTTCCACTGATCAAATTCCTACAGTGACTTGGGTCACAATAGTCACGTGGGCTATGTTTCTGGCTCTGGGCCTCTGTTCCATATGCCTGTGTCCCAGGCCTGGGTCGCATCCTCTCTGAGATAGGCAAAGAGCCCTCGGCCCACAGCCCCCATCCAGCCCTGGCTCCCACAGGCTGAGTCTCCAGCTGTCTTTACCAGATTTCCTTGAAGTCAAGATTTGCCAATACCATGGCAAATTAGCCAGATTTCTTTATTTTCAGTATTCCTGATGCTTGGGCATCTATTGAGGGATTGTGCCTGCCTGGGTGGCCCAGTTTCAGACGGCAGAGGGGTGTGTCCTATCTCCTGTGTGCCCTTCTGGCCCAGCCCTTGTCGCTTGTGTCAAACCCTAGGGGCTGGCTGGGCCAGTCCCCTCACCCCCTCCACTGAGCCACTGGAGGCCACTGCTGCCAGCCAGAGCCCACCACCACATGAGGCCAACGGGCCAGTCCAGAGCTGCTCAAGCCGCCCTTCCTGTCTTCCCCAGGAAAGGCTGTGTCTCAGTTTCCCCTCACTTGCCTCTGCCTGCTCAAACCTGTTCTGAAGGAATGTGTGTACTAAATGAGGCTTTGTGGTGTCTTGGCTCAGGTGTGTCAGCGTCCAGGCACCTCTGGGAAAGACACCTAGGTTTTGTCTTCTTTTTTTTCTTTTTCCTGTATTTAGGACAGGGCCTACAGGGTCTACAGGGTCTCACTAGGTATATGAGACTCGTAGTGATTCTCCTGTTTTCAGCTTCCCAAATTTTGGGATTACAGGCACATGTGCCACCACTCCCAGTCTCAATTGTCTTCTTACACAGGGGCAGGGCCAGCACGGCACGCCAGGGATTGAATCCTGGCTGCTACGCTGTGCCTAAGAAGACATTTTAGTCCACTGAGCTTTCAGGCTGGCCCTGGTTTTGCCTTTTTAAAAAAAATTTTTTTTTTAAATTATGTATTTTGTACAGGGGTTCACTACACAGCTCAGACTCGTAGTGATCCTCCTGTTTTCAGCCTCCCCAGCACTGGGATTACAGGTGTGTGCCACCCCGCCTGAACTCTGTCTCTGACCAGTGTGCCTGAGGGCAGGATTGGCGTGGGGCATGTAGTACCAGTACCAGAGATTGAACCCTGGTCCCTGTGCTTGCCTAAGCAGGCGTGTAGTCCACTGAGCTATCTTGCTGGCCCTCTAGGTTTTGATTTATTACAGTGGCCTCCCTGGTGGGGAGAGGTCTGTGAGCTCTGGATTCTGGAAGCAGCCAGGAGTGAGGGTGTGAGGGGCAAGCGTCTCCACCAGGCACTAGCGCACATCTCCATACAGTCACTGGCCAGCAGCCCTCAGCGCCGTCAGGAACCCAGGACACCCACTGCCCACCCCCACAGCTGTGGCTTCGCTGAGAATTTCCAGTGCAAGTGTCTTATTCCATAGAGGAGCAGAGTGGTCACCATGCCCAGGTGGGGTGTGGCCTTCAAGCTGTAGCAGAGCAATAAACAATAAATATTTGAGTATGCGATTGAATGCATGGCTTTTAAAACCCATTAAGCTCAGAAACAATTTGGGTTGAGCCTGGCAGGAGTGGAAAAGATAACAGAGAAGGACATGGTAAAAATAAAGCTTGGAAGATAGGTGGGGTGGGGGGGAGGCCCTTGCACTCACCCCCAGGAAACAGGCCTCAGAACCTCACAGCTCTACTCTGAGAGCTGCTGTAGGGACTGAGTGAGAAAAACTCCAAATACTCTGAGGGTGCTTGGTACACAGTACCTCATGGTACCAATGCCAAGAGCCATGATCCAACCTTTTGGAGCCTCAGTTTCCTGCTCTGGAGAAGCTCCTTGTAGGCTGATTCTGAATGGAAATGAAATAAAATTTGTAAAATGAAGTTTCACCACACAATACTTAGTTTGTGTGATGTAGTCTAATATAGTCTGTCTTATAGTATCTCATTAAAGAAAAAGATACCATTTGGAGCCCAGTATATTAATTTCATTTATGGGCATGGCCTCAGGTTAAAAAACACCAGGTTGATCAATTTTTTTTTTCTTTTTGGTAATTTTTTTTTTCTTTTTGTTGGAACCAGGGATTGAACTCAGGCTCTTGCCCTTGCCAGGGAAGTGCTTATTCCACTGAGCCATTTCCCTGGCTGGACCAAAATTTTTAATTGCCTTAGAAAATTAAGAGCACATCAGTCAAGACATTGAATGCCTATAATCCCAGCTCTTGGGAGGCTGAGGCAGGAAGACTACCATGAGTTTAAGGTCAGCCTGAATTACATAGCCAGTCCCTGTATATAAAAGAAGAAGAAGGAAGAAAAAGAAGAAGAAGAAGAAGAAGAAGAAGAAGAAGAAGAAGAAGAAGAAGAAGAAGAAGAAGAAGAAGAAGAAGAAGAAGAAGAAAAAGAAGGAGAAGAAGAAGAAGAAGAAGAAGAAGAAGAAGAAGAAGAAGAAGAAGAAGAAGAAGAAGAAGAAGAAGAAGAAGAAGA